CTCCTCATTGCTTTAATCTTCCTGTCTCCTCTCCTTTCAAGTTCGCTGTCTTTACCTCCCTGCTCCCAGGCAGCCTCCTTTATCGCTAGAGTCCCTTATCACAAACATTTCCCCTTACTTTTTAGGAGGAAAAAAGTGCATCTTATGGAGCAAAAAATATGGGATATCATTTATCAGAATGCTTTTAGAACCTTACAGGTCCACCACATATGATAGAAGGTACCTTCCTTTTGCTTACATTTCCAGCAGATATTTGCACTTGTCTTACACATTTTTGCAAGTTTACTAGGAGTCAAATACCATCGGTACATCATTTTCATATAATTTTCTTTCAGAGTACAGCATGCTGAGAATTTCACCACCGCCCAAGCCTCCCTGGCCTGCCCAGGCCGGGTCTTCCTGTTCTAAAGGTAAACAACTATTTCCTAAAAAAAGGGCAACAACTTTGGGGTCCCCCCCCTAAAAAAAGGTTGACAACTCTGGGCAACCTAGGGGCACTGGCTGGATTGCAGCGGTGCCTGGCAGCAACAATGGCAGATTTTGGTGAGATCTTGTGAGATCTCACTGAGCTCTTGCAAGATCTTACAGAGCTCATGAGATCTTGTGAAATTTCAGGAAGACCTCACAAGAGCTTGCTAGCCTAATACTGCTATTAAACCAATTAGATTTAGTAAGATTATGCATAGGCTTTCCATGTTGGGTTGCAGCTAGCACATGTAAAGTCCTGGCACTTACATGACCTCCCACTACTGACATTGCTGGTGCTGGCAGGGTTGAGTAAGGTTGGCACAGTGCAAACACACTGGTGCAGCCAAACTGGTGCTCATGCCAGTGTGTTCACACCACATCAACCTCACCCCCTTCCTCCTCTACCTTCTTGTAAGCCACAGTGATGTCAGCATTGGGAGATATGCTAAGTGACTCCCCCCACCAAATGCTACTGGTTGTGGGTGGCCTATGATTTTAAAAGATTCCACCTTCTGCCCAAGTAGTGTTTTCAAGCGGCCATTGTAGCTGTGCTTTTAACAGCAGCTCGACATGTAGACATAGGGTGATATTCAATTAAATAATTGCATGAGTGGACCACAATAGGACTTTCCTCCCTCTCTTCCACCTGTGATTCCCCTAAATCCTTTGTACGGGTTCCCCCAAACCCAGATTCGGGGACGGTGCAGGGTTGGAAGAGAGGAAGGAATGTCCCATTGCAAAAGTGGAAGTCGCTCTGCTCATGAACTTATTCCGCCAAATACTGCCTATAATCCTGATCTCAAAGGTTGCCCAGAACAGCCCAAGCAGTCTTGTTGACTTTTTCCAGACCAATTGGCAGCAAGATGCTGCTGCCAAAATAGCTCCTCCTTCACGGCCTGGGCAGACCATCCAACCCCCTGCAATGCTTGAACCCATGACCTTGAGATTAAGAGTCTCATGTTCTAGTGTCTGAGGCACTCTGAACAAGTGGGGGGACGGACCCTGAGGAATTAAGAATGCATTTTTCAGAACAGCACTAGTTCTCAGTGGTATGTAGAGCTGACACCTTTCTTTGTTGTTTGTGAAGATATATGGTAGGTGAGAGACTGTGCAGCAAACGACCAAAGAGAGGTTTTGGACAGTAAGGAAAGCCAGTGTGATGTGGTGATGAAGTTTGCTGGAGAACTTTGGTCCAAGAAGGCAAAATGCGTTAACCCCATTTAGGCTGCCACGAGCTTCTTGGAGGAACCGTACAGTGCCAACGTGATAAATTAGACCACGGGCCCTGAGAAGGAGTGGGGCTCATCTGCAGAACAAGTTGCGACTTACTAGAGTAGTGGACAGGGGAGAATTCATATGACCCAAGATCAAACCTACCTGTGAAGAGAGCCAGATGCCCGTGACACGTGGCCAAGCAGCATGTGACCTGATTGCATCATTGCATAGCCATACTGCTTTTGGCCCCAGAAGGTGGTTAACAGCTTCACCTGCCAGTGGCGTAGCGTGGGGGGTGCAGGGGGGGCCGGCCGCACCGGGCGCAACATCTGGGGTTAGGGCAAATCCACAGGTTAGGGGGCGCAAATCCATGGGTTAGGGGGTGCAAATCCACGGGTTAGAGGGTGCAAATTACTTGCCTTGCCCCGGGTGCTGACAACCCACGCTACGCCACTGTCACCTGCACACTTCCCCAGAGGCTCAAAATCAAAGGCAAAGTCTCATCAGCTTCATGTCGAGTCACTCATCATTTGACCCAAGTGGACTTCACTCTTATAACCACTTGCAAGGTGTGTTACAAAGACATCCATATTCAGCGAAAGGATTTGACTTGAAAGTTTATGAGCCATGGGGCTTGACCTTGATTTCAAAGAGCAGAATGGTGTCTTTTTACATGCATCCACTACGCTCCGTATCTCATGTCATCCATAAAGGGGAGTAAAACTGGCAGATATTAATTTTCAGTCACAGCACGCCTAACCCTGCAACTGCAGACTCAGAAAAAACGTAAAGGAAAAAAAACAGCCTGCCCATCTGCTGCATCAGCTGTAGGTAAGTCTCTGCCACCCTCATCACTGCGTGTTTTGCTGCTTAAAGCCAGTTTTGTCCTCAGAGGGGTGAGCTAGCGTGCACCTTCCTGCCTGTCCCTCATAGAGATCCAAAATGTTCAATTTTCTTGTGCAGAATAACCACACTACTGTATTTTCCTTCGCTGGGGATGTTATTTGCAGGCAGGGCTGTTTTGCCTAATGCAATAGCTCTTTTGGATTCTGTGGCAGATCCCATTCGGGAGATTTAGTTGCCTTAGAACCAATAGTGGCTATATGCTGGCTGGCCTGAGATTTAAATTCCTCCCACCTGCTAAGCTAGGTCAATATACCTGGACTGCCATTGTTAATTAATCCTGCAGGTGCACTGCCGCTGGCAGGCACTCAGCCTTCAACTGGTCCACAACTGGATCTTCCCACATCCTGCTGATACTTACCCCTGAAGCACAATCAGTAAATCAATATTTATTTATTTTTTAAAATCCTGATGTGTCAAAAAGGAAGAATCGTACAAACCAATTGACCTTGATATACAAAATTATTCTGCAACAGGTTTCCCCTTCAGGGAGGAAGAATATTAATCTGCCCACCCTGCAGTATTTGCATGAGACAATGGACCAATGCGAGATACCCAGCGTATCTGTCTCCCATTGGCTGTTAATTTTGTTGGATAGCACTGGAACCTTCATATTCAGAGGCAGTGTACTTCTGGGTAGGGCAGCTACTTACAAGTTGCCTAAAAGAGGACACAGATTTGCATAGCTTATGCTTATATGTAGAAATTCAAATGCAGAAATAGAGAGAGGGCAGACCCTCCAAGTGTCCCTATTTTCCAGGGACATCCCTGATTTAGAGAAATCATGCCGGTTTCTGATTTGATCCCAAAATGTCCCACTTTTCCTTAGGGTGTCCCTATTTTCACTGGATAAATGTTGGAGGGTATGGAGTTATGACTCCTGAGCCATCTGAAGGCAATCCTGTACAGGAAAGTTGTTTTTTTTTTAAATGTTTATTATGTTTTTATATACTGTATGTTGGAAGCTGCCCAGAGTGGCTAGGGAACCCATTAAGGTGTGTAGGCTACAAATAGCAACATAATAGTAACTAGAGCCAGGGCTTTTTTGGCTGTGGCTCTGATCTGGTGGAATGCGATGTCACAAGAGACTAGGGTATCCTTCCGCAGGACCTGCAAGACAGAGCTGTTCCACAAGGCCTTTGGCCAGGGCACAGCCTGACTCCCTCCTTCGGCAATCTTCGTGGAGCTCTGGCCCAATGGTTGCCATTGGTTTGATTTGAATTAATTTTATAATGATTGATTTTAGAGTGTTGTGTTGTACTGTTTTTATTGTTGTTAGCCGCCCTGAGCCCGGCTTCGGCTGGGGAGGGCGGGATATAAATAAATTATTATTATTATTATTATTATGGAATGGGACTTCCCTATTTTCATTGGAGAAATGTTGGGAGGGTATGAGAGGACTGGGATAGCTCCGCTGGTAGAACATTAATCTCAGGGTTGTGGGTTCAAGCCCTTCATTGAGCAAAAAATACCTACATTGCAGGGGGTTGGACTAGTTATCCTCATGGTCCCTTCCAACTCTACAGGTCTAAGATTCTATAACTGAAATAGAGATACAGGCCTAACTGGAATAGCATGCTAAGCACAAGAATTAACCTTGGCTGGAGCTTGTGGCTAGGGATGAGAGAGCTCAACCAAGGAGCCCCAGTTGGCTTACTTAGCACAGTGTGTAGCAAAGATGACTGGGGAGCAGCAAGGCAGCTGCAAACTTCTCTCCTGGAGCCCACACTTTCATATGGCTTCACTAACCCAAGGCTTGTCTTAAGAGCAGGGTTTCCAAAACTTGGGTCTCCAGCTGTTTTGGGACTACAATTCCCATCATCCCTGACCATTGGTCCAGCTAGCTAGGGATCATGGGAGTTGTAGGCCAAAAAACATCTGGAGGGCCGAGGTTGAGGAAGCCTGGACTAGATGACCCTCAGAATCCCTTCCAGCTCTACAATTCTATGCATCCATGTGGCTTTAAAGTTGCGCAGGCAGAAATTCAGCAGGTGAAGCTTTCCCAAGCAACAGGAGAACTTCACCGATGAATTTGCGCCTGTCGTGGAGCGCAGTTGAAGGTGCATCGGGGAGACCCGTTTAAGAGGGGAGGAGCAGGCGGACTCCCGAATTGCGGAAGAAGTCCTCTGCAAAAACAAAAACACAGCTTGTCCCAGAAAGGCTCTTCCAGCCGAAAAGCGAGCCGAAAAGGCAAACCTCAAACGCCAAACACCAATTAAACCCGCCCACGTTCGAATTCCTTGGCAATAACAGGCGGCGGCGGGTGGAGAAAAGCACGCTCTGCAGAACCCTTCCGCTCTGGTTGCTGCGCCCGCCCGCTGCGTGGCAACGGGGCCGCTCTTCTGCCCGGCTTTGGCGCCTGCCCTCCCATTGGCCCTTTTGAAAGCAGCGGCGCGGCCCCATTGGCGCGTTGGGAGTCGGCTCAGCGCGGTCGATTTGAATCCGTCTGCGCTCGGCCTCTCTTAAGCAGGCGCTGCTAAGCCGCCGCCTCCGCTTCCTCCGCCGGTTCTTCGGAAGGTGCGTCCTTGTTTTCGCAGGGAGGCGAGGGGAACGGCTGGAAGCAGTGGGGCTGGCCCGGGCGGAGAGGGTAAGGGGGCTGCAAGGGGGACGTGGGGGGGGGGGGAAGAAAGACCCGTGGCTGGGATAGACCAGGGCAGGAGGCTGCCGGGAGGATAAAGGGCAGGGGTAGGGGGAGCGCATTAAACCCCACTTTTTAAAATAAAGGTGCAACTCTTGTGTTCCTGTGCATTCTCCCTTCACTTTTGCCTGGATGAGTTGGAGAACTTAAAAAAAAAAAGCCACAGAATAAATGTTGCGTTTTCCCCAAACTGCATCCCTTAACTCACTTCCTCTTTTTAAAAAAATAATAAAAAGTTTTTATTCTGAAGGCTGCAAACTTACCACCCACTGGGGATTACTTTTGAGCAACCCCTGTAGGGTGGGGGGCGGGTGGGGGGGGGAAGGCTAGCCAGAGTATTTCTGAACTCTTCTTTCTCTCTGATCTGGGTATAGCGTGTTAAAAATCTAGTCTATCTGGTGGATTGGAGGGGAGACAGCTAGAGGTTTGTTCTTATCTCCCCCATGTGCTTACCTAATCCCCAAGATCTCTTTCTCCTTGGCCTTTGTAAATCTGCACTTGACTCTCCTGGCCTTAGCATGTGGCCTCCTGTATGAGCAAGCAGACATGCAGTGAGTGCAGCACTTGTGAGCTGGATTGTGGCCTTTTCAGACTGCAGCTTCTGTTGGCTTGACTATTCTCAGGATGATAGGCACGGAAAGGAGTTTTCAGGAATGCATTTAAGCAGATGTCACTTTATGGCTTGTGCAATAACTTAAAAAAGCTGCTAGATGGGTCTCTCCCGCTTGGCAAACACCTAGCAAATAAATGCAATATTAAGAAGTGCAAACTACTGTCTCTCATTCTTTCTATATGTATCTGCCAACCTAAAACTATATAAACTCCCAATATGGACATGCAATGATTGCCCTGGTGAATAACTTGTCTGGGACTGGAAAGTGGAAGTGCAACACCCCTCCCCCCCCCCAAAAAAAATTCCTTTAGGACTTCTCAGTATCCTTTGATACCATTAATCATGGCATCCTTGACTGGCTTTTGTTTAGGGAGGTGGGGACACAATACTACAATGGTTCTCTTCTTCTGAGATGGTCAGTATCTTTGGTAGCACTAGGTGATTTCTGTTGGCTTATGAGGATTCCATCTTATCCCCAATGTGTCATCCATAGGCAGATGACATGGCAGCTCTATCTCTTTCCCACTCGAGAAAGGGGTCCTGGCTGACTCCAGCTGCAAAAGCCGAGGCTGCCGAATAGGCCACAGACCACTTTGGCTGAGAGTCCTGCCTTGCAGGCCTTTCTCCACTTGGCCTGAGAAGGTGGGGCCCTGGCTGACTACAGCTACAAAAGCTGAGGCTGCCGATCAGATTCCTGGATCAGGGTGTCGCTTGGGTTCTTGTTGCTGTTCATTGATATTTGGTTGTGCTCTTTTAAAAGTTTTATTTTTCTTTCTTGTTTGGGACTACTTTTGTAATTATATAAATCTTCTCATGTTATAAGCTGCTTTGAGAAGTTTTAACTATGGAAAGGTGACATACAGTGGTACCTCGGGTTACATACGCTTCAGGTTACACACTCCGCTAACCCAGAAATAGTGCTTCAGGTTAAGAACTTTCCTTCAGGATAAGAACAGAAATTGGGCTCTGGTGGCACGGCAGCAGCAGGAGGCCTCATTAGCTAAAGTGGTGCTTCAGGTTAAGAACAGACCTCTGGAACGAATTAAGTACTTAACCTGAAGTACCACTGTACAAATAAAATGATGATGATGATGTGCAACCAGCCCTGGATGTGGTAGAACTCCACCTGAGGAACCAGATGTGCAGCTTGGAGGGTCCTCCTGGATTTGTCACGGTCAGACACAGGTAGCTGTAGTGGCCAGGAGTGTTTTCACAAGCTCCAGCTTGTATCTCATATGCAGCCCCTGTTTAGATCAATGATCAGACCTGGCCTTGGTTATCTGGTGACCTGCAAACTAGACTGCTGCATTTTATGAGGAACTGCATCTGAAAACTGTCTGGAAGCTGCAGCTGATACAGAATGTTGCAGCCCAAATGTTGGTGGGAGCCAGAAGATCTGCATAACTCAAGTTTTCCACTGGTTGGAGTAGCTTCCAGACCCAGTTCAATGTGCTGGTCTTAATCTTTAAAACGCTAAATTGCTTGGGACTTGGTTATCTTCTATCCTACCTGAGTGCTCTTCTTGAGTGCCTGCTTTTAATATGTTAGGCTGGCATGCACAAGAGACAGGGCTTTCTTAATGGTGGCGCTAAAACTCTAGAGCTTGCTTTCAATGACTTCTGCCTTGCCCCTTTGATTCTGACACTTATGCGGGCCCTCTCTATGGCTGCTTGTGTCTCCAGGGCAGCTTTTGGTTAAACCTTTACTTGCCCTTTCTCTGCAAATTCTTAGCCTTTTCAACCCAAACTTGAACTGCTATAGGTCAATTTAACTGGAACGAAAGGGAAGGATGCCTTCTAGTTGACTTCTTTTGCAGGATGGCAGTAATACGGCAAAATGCCTTTTCTTTAGCTTAATTACAGCTGGCTGAATTACTGCAGGAAGGAAAAGATCTACATGCCCCTGAAAACACACCAAAGCGGCTTTGAAAACCCTTCTCTTTGAAAAAATAAATAAATGTAGGGATGCACCTGTCACTACAACTGCTTGACTCTCCTTGTTCTGTTTCAGGCCTTTTCATATTGAGGAATAATGGACGACTACACGAAAATAGAAAAGATTGGTGAAGGTAGGTAACATTTGATCTGTTACATAATCTTTCTTTGTCTTGCAAAGAAGGCATCTATATACTTGGAAGCAGGTCTCATTGAGTCAGAGTCATTGATGGCACTTACATGGGTCACGAGAGTCCCCCACTCACTAATAAAATGTAGCACCCCAAAGAACTGCATGGTGTGCTAACCCACATACCTGCCTAGGGGGATAATCACTGAAAAGCTTGCATTGTGATTTCGAAGCTGCTTCCTTAATATTGTATTTGCAATTGGCACCCATTCATTACTACTAGTGAATTTATAAAATGGGAAATTTTGTGTGGAGAAATAAAGCCCTGGAAAATTATCAGCCCTACCTCACTGGGCACCCCGCCACTTTCCCTCGGTTGTTGCACATGCACTTGTAAACTGAATGCCCAAATAGGACATAGATGCTTGCTCAGGGTGCTTCCACCCTTGGGCTGAAAGGCTTTGTATCATGTTAAGCCCATGCCCTGGTTGTCACAACATGGTGATCTTAGTGGGGCAGTGTGGGCTCCTGGAGAGGAGCTTTGCTCCTTTACTCCCATGGCATGCTGAGCTAAGCCAGGCTTCAGCTAAGGGCATCACCTAAACCTTGTGCTTGACCTCTCCTTGGAAACCACAAGTCATAGCTAGTAATAAAACTTGGCTACAGGGTGGTTGTTGAAGAGAGAGCTCAACCACTAGCCCAGATTCAGAAGACCAGAATCAGCACGGCACGCTTTTTGACTGGTGCGGGTCCAACTGCAATCACATGGAGACCTGGATGCCAGGTTGGCCGCTGGGGGAAGCAAAACATCACTTGGAGAAGGATCTGAAATATTTTCCTTGAAGTTTGAATTGATTTTATTCCGGCTTGTTTTCTTTGATGTTTTAATGTCTTGTAAACCGGTTTGAGATTTGTTCTTTAAAATCTAAAGTGTTATAAAAAAAGAAATGAATTAAATAATAATACATTCCTTTGTGGCGACCATAACCCAGGTTTAAGGTGCCATTTGGCAATTAGATTACATACCTGAGTTTCTAACACTGCAGAAGACACTGCTCGCTCAGTGGGAGTTCACACATTTGGGCTGGCTTAATGCAGGGGTCAGCAAGCTGCTCACAGACCTCCTGGTGGGCCATAGTGCATGTGTGTGTGCACGCATGCGCACACGGCAGAGGGGGCTTCTCTTTCCCCCGGCCCCTCCCGTCCTCCTGCGTACCTAGGGTGCTGCCAAGAGGCAGAGGCTAGTGGCAGCAGCATTGGAGGAGGAACGAGCAGCCCAAAAGGGCTGCTTTTGGGCTGCTTGTTCCTCCTCCACCACCACCAACGACAGCGACAGAAGCGGCGGCGGAAGAATGAGCAGCCCGAAAGTGCTGCTTTCAGGCTGCTCGTTCCTCCACCGACAGCCTCTGCCGCTTGCAAAGGCAGGCACAGGAGCCGCGCTTGGCAGAGTGGCGGCAGCAAACAGCTTGCTCTGACGAGGGGCTGCTGGAAATGCGCTCAGCCCAGCCCCCTTCCTCCTCTTGGCCATGCACAGCAGCTGCTTGCCCATTGGCCAGGGCCTCAAACCTTAGCGGGTGATTGGCTGGTGATTTGCTACACTGGGAGGAGGGAGGAAGTTCCACCACGGTGAGGGAGAGGGGGGGAAATGTCGGTGGAAAAAAATGGTGCCCGCTCCACGAAATAAACCCCACAGGTTCCCCTCGCCTATCCACGGAACTGGCCATGCGCCAGTTCTGTGAGGCCCATGGGCCTTCGGTTGCCGACCTTTGGTTTAATGTATTGTGCAAACCTGGTGTCTGTGCCCAGAGGATTAAACTGGAGCTTTCTCCCCATTAGGCACTTATGGTGTTGTGTATAAAGGCAAACACAAAGCTACAGGCCAAGTGGTGGCCATGAAGAAAATCCGGTTAGAGAACGATGAAGAAGGTGTTCCCAGCACTGCAATCAGAGAGATTTCCTTATTAAAAGAGCTACGTCATCCCAACATAGTCTGGTATGTCTACACATGTGTAACCTGGGTTTCAGCTATAAAATGGGGTTTTCGTCCCTTTTTTTTTGGCACCCAATGAGTCTGCTGAATTACACCTAAAAATGTGAGGGCGTCTTTCATGTGTGGTGATGAGGGAATTGGAGTTGGAAGGGACCCTGAGGGGTCCGGCTGGTGATGAGTTAAGCAGCAGCTGATGGCATGATTGGGCTATGATGCTCACCTGACCTCTTTCTGGCTGCGTTGCTGCATGTTAGAATGGGCCAACCTGGTTGTAAACACACTGGCAGAAGTGCTGGATATACAGCAGTGACTCCACTGGAGGGAGGTTGGGTTGGTCTTTAAGACACATAAGGGCTGGTCATTTCCAGCTTTTCTCGTGTCCCCGTCCCCTGCGGGGGGGGGGGCAGGACGGGGCACAGACAGACACGAAGCAAACCCTGCGTTTAAGGTTGTGTCCTGTGCAAAAGTGGCTGGTGGTAAGCCCCACTGAACAAACCTGGAATTACGTTCCCCAGCAAAAGTGCTTAGATGTGTCCTGCGCTTGTTCTGTTCTACATACATATGATTCGTGTTTCTTTAGGTAGGCTGGATACTTAGTTGCCCTCTATAGACACTTAATGTAATTAGAGTTTACAAACAATCTTATGCATGTGGAGAGGAAGAGCACCTCAGTTTGCATATATTCTGCAGGATTTCTTGTAGCATGCAAGGTGGCATGTGTGGTACCAAAAGGAAACGCTTACTAAACAATCAAATGTGAAGCGTTTCCAAGTCCTTGTCTTTCAGTGGGAGAGTTCAGCATATGCTTAAATGCCTTTAAGATCAGTGGGACTGAAAGATGCTTAACTGTGGCTGGACCATGTTCATTTTTTGACATCCTTGGTTATTTCAGCATACTTTTAATAACAGACTCAGACTTTCTCAAGGAAGGCTCCATGCTGCTTCAGAGGGCCTAGTTATTTTGACTTAACTTGGTAGAGCTTCTCTGTTGAACCACCACCAGGAATTAAGGTAGTTTAATTATGAGAAGGTAATTTGAGTGGGTGTTCTGTCTAAAGCCTAACCTGGAGATCTGCCCAAAATTTTGGTTAAATTTAATGCGTATCTGGCTTGAATACGATTAAATTTGTTGCTCAGAAAATCATACACTTAGTTTAAATCCAAAGCTCTTCTGAATTCAACATTTCTAGACTCATCTACCCATGTAGATGCGGGTGGCGCTGTGGGTTAAACCACAGAGCCTAGGGCTTTCCGATCAGATGGTTGGTGGTTCGAATCCCCGCGACGGGCTGGGCCCCTGCTCCTGCCAACCTAGCAGTTCAAAAGCACATCAAAGTGCAAGTAGATAAATAGGTACTGCTCTGACGGGAAGGTAAACGGCGTTTCCGTGCGCTGCTCTGGTTCACCAGAAGCGGCTTAGTCATGCTGGCCACATGACCTGGAAGCTGTCCGCCGCCTCCCTCGGCTAATTAAGTGAGATGAGCGCTGCAACCCCAGAGTCGGCCACGACTGGACCTAATGGTCAGGGGTCCCTTTATCTTTACCTTACTCGTGTACTACCTGAAACCAAAGCAGAACATTGGTTTCCAGATGTGAAATATATTGGCATTTTTCTCAGCTCTCCCACCCCACTACAGAAACAAGGGCTGATAGTACTAAGCAGAACACTATACTGGGCTGAGTGCCTAAATGTTCACCTTTGAAACAACTATATGCACCCTGGTGAACATATGCTTAAATAACTAAGTGTATTAAGCTAGTTTCATTTAGGCCTCTCTGTTTCACATTAATTTATAATTCTCAGTCATCCGTCATCTTCATAAGACTTATAGCTGTAAGCTTAATGGATCAGGCAGCATGTGTAATTACCAGCTTTCACATAGGCATGTATGCAGTGAACCTGCAGAAACCTTAGCTCGGCATGTTACGATGGCTGATTAGATAGAAGTATAATAAACTATGAGATGTTTGTCCAGTTAGACGAAGGGGACTTAGTGCTGCATATAACAAACCCACATTGTAGGCTTGGTGAAAAGGTATGAGCTATTTTGACTTTCTTAAAAAAAGGAAAATTCTTTTCAGTCTTCAGGATGTGCTTATGCAAGACTCAAGACTTTACCTGATATTTGAATTTCTTTCTATGGATCTCAAGAAATACTTGGACTCCATCCCATCTGGGCAGTACCTAGATCGTATGCTTGTTAAGGTAAGGAAACGATACTGCAGACGGGTAGCTTTCGCCCTGCCTGCCCACGGAACCCCGTCTACGTTGATCTGTCTGCCAGAGACTCTTGGGGTGAATTGGAAAGAGGAGGCAAGTTGTGTTTGGCCAATGCTTCTCCATCATCACAGTCCTTGCCATCCAGGATCCTTTTGTAAGATCCCAAAGCGCTGTGAGGATATCTAGGAACAGAGTTTGAAAATGACTGCTGTGAATTGTTCTGAAGCAAACAGCTGCAGCAGCCTGGCGTAAGAATTGGTGGCCCATGTGGCAATTCTGACACCCGTGTTGAGGACCACAGGTATAGCAGGGCTTTTGTGTTCTCCTGTGTCACATCTTAAAGGTTATTCCCCTTGTGCTAATTCAGTGTTCTAGAAGCAAAACAGTGGTACAGTGGTACCTTGGTTCTCAAACGGCTTGGCTCCCTAACAAATCGGCTCCCGAACGCTGCAAACCCAAAAGTAAGTGTTTTGGTTTGCAAACGTTTTTTGGAAAGCCGAACGTCCGGCACGGCTTTCGACTGAGTGCAGGAAGCTCCTGCAGCCAATTCGGAAGCCGCGACTTGGTTTTTGAACGGTTTTGGGAGTTGAACAGATTCCCGGAACTGATTAAGTTTGAGAACCAAGGTACCACTGGAATGGTTTTTTAGGTGGCTTACTGAATTTTGAAGCTGACCCTTTGTAAGAAGCAGCTTTTCTAGCCATTTCATCTATAAAATCACCCTAGTAAATGATGTGGAGGTGCCACTGCGACATCATATTGAAGTTAAGCGCGTGTGGATCTACTTGTCACCATTCATTTGTCTTTTGTTTTAGTTAGTGCCATCAGTGTGCATGATGTTTTGGTTTCACAGAATTGTAGAGTTGGAAGGGTCCCCAAGGGTCATCTAGTCCAACCCCCTGCAATGCAGGAATCTCAACTAAAGCATCCACGACAGATGGCCACCCAGCCTCTGCTTAAAAACCTCCAAGGAGAAGGAGAGTCCAACGCTCCTCGTGGGAGTCTGTTCCACTGTTGAACAGCTCCTGCTGTCAGGAAAGGTCTACCTGTTGTTTTGTTGGAGTCCTCCTTTCTTGTAACATCAGCAAAGATAGGTCCCGAGCCCCGAAAAGCTTGCAAGCTAAAGCTTGATAGTGGACAGGGGGAGCAAGGGATGCATTTCAGCAAATGAGGTGTATGTAATTGGACTCGCGTAACCTGGATTGCAAACCGCTAGGAACCTAGTGTAAGCGGCTCCATTCTTCTAAAGCAGCCTTTCTCAACCTGTGGGTCCCCAGATGTTGTTGAACTACAACTCCCATCACCCCTAGCTAGCAAGGCCAGAGCTCAGGGATGATGGGAGTTGTAGTCCAACAACATCTGGGGACCCACAGGGTGGGAAACGCTGTAAGGGATGGAAGGTTTTGTAATACCTATTTTTACCACACCTTTCCATTCTCCTTTGGGCAGACAAGAGGTGAAGTTCATGGTCTTCCAACGCCAACTCTGTTTTAATATTCTTTCAGAGTTACTTGTACCAAATCTTGCAAGGTATTGTGTTCTGTCACTCGAGGAGAATTCTGCACAGAGACCTGAAGCCTCAGAACTTGTTGATCGATGACAACGGAGTAATTAAACTGGCCGACTTTGGCCTGGCTCGAGCTTTCGGCATCCCCGTGCGGGTCTACACCCATGAGGTAAGGGACTGCGGATCTCCCTGCGCTAAATCCTACATTAAAAGGTATAAGCTGTGGATTGTTGAAAGAACCAATGATTTGGGGTTTAGGCAATAAAAACATTTGTGTTATAAGACAGCTAATAAAAAGCAGTAAAACATCAACAACAGGAAAGATGGGGTGGGATGTCAAGAAGAAGAAACTATATGATAATAAATGCCTTGAAATACCTTTGGATAATTAATTTAAAAAATATATGGAAAAAATAATTCCTACACTGAGGCTAGCAAGGTTTTTTTTTTCCATTTAATGTTGCTTATTAAGGAGGTTGCTGCATGCTATTAAGAGCCCTGTTGAATCAGACCCAGGTCTGTCTAGGGTTGGGTGACACCTGGTGTTCAATATCACCAACTAAACATTATGATATCTCGATATATCATGATATGTATCTGCAGTGGCAGAGGGCCTCCCGGGAATCCCTGCGGTGGCGGAGGGCCTCACTGCACCTATTCACGGTGGCGGATGACCTCGCCAGGCCTCCTTGCGGCAGCAGAGCACCCCACTGCGCCTCCCCATAGAAGCGGAGGGCTCTTTGGGTATCCTCGCAGCAGAGGAGGGCCTCACCACACCTTCCCGCAGTCGTGGGGGGCCTTGCTGCGCCTCCCCATGGCAGTTGGGGGCTTTTAAGATGTAAGGAAGGAGTGGACTTAATAAAAAAAACAAGGGAGCTCATGGAGGAGCTTTGAGCTGGATGCTGTTGCTCTGTGTGACCTCCTTTTACATGATAGCTATGCAGATGGAATGAGGTTGAGTGTGGAAGAAAGGACTGAGACAATTGGGGCAAGAATTCACCTCGAACAATTAATACGCGAACTTCCTTGAGTACGGTATATTCGCTTACAAAATAGGAACTAGAAAACTCTGCGGCTTTTCTTCTTTTTCTTTAAAAAACGACTTCAGAAACTGGCGTGCTGATTCCAGAAATGTCGTATGCTGGACAGTGTGGCTGAGTGCAGTAATCCATGCATAATTGTTCCAAAGCACGTTAAATCCTTCCTCCCCCCTCCCCCCCCCAGCTGGCGGGGGTTTTTTAATTTTAAAAAAACCTTCTAATGCCCACTCTTCTTGTGCTAGGTAGTAACTCTGTGGTACAGAGCTCCAGAAGTGCTGCTAGGTTCTGCACGTTACTCCACACCTGTCGATATATGGAGCATAGCGACAATATTTGCTGAAATGGCAACCAAGCAAGCACTCTTCCGTGGAGATTCAGAAATTGATCAGTTGTTCAGGATCTTCAGGTATCTAACTTAAAATGAGAAAAGTTTGCGGTCTTGTTTTCCTTCTGCGGAAATGTTGTATCCCATCAGTCTGATAATTGTGTGAATTTAATTTTTTTAAAAAATTATTATGGTGCAATGAATTGAGGCCTGTGGTTTTCCGGTGTCATAACGGCAAACTGCTAAACAAATTGTTCTAATTTGAAACAAAGTACAGTCCTCACTATATTTGCTTTGGAGCACATCCCACTTCAAGGAGACTGGCTTATTATTGGTAAATATACTCGGGAGTGCAGCCTTGATAGCCTGTTCCTATGAACAATGTGTATAGGATATCATAAATAGACTGGGAGGTGTTCAGATGTTGTCGTCAGGTGAGGGCATTGCAGCAGGGTCTTGTCAACTATTTCTCTGGCAATTGCTGTTATTTTCTCTTGCATAGCCTTCTTTGTGGTTCAAAAACACAGCACAGATATCTCTCTTTTGGCAGTACAGTCTTACTGACGCACATATATTTAAAAGCCGAGAGTTCCAACACAAAGCTGCATAACGTGTCTCAGTTATGTTGGATTCTGAAGCATCACTGCAGGGATCTTTCAGTAGGTAACACTCAAAGAAGTGTTTGGCTGAATCCATTCGAGCAGATTTGCCAAGGCTGCTTAATCAACCCCCTTTTGACTGTTTTCCTTGTAGAGCTTTGGGGACGCCCAACAATGACGTGTGGCCGGAAGTAGAATCCTTGCAGGATTACAAGAACACTTTCCCCAAGTGGAAACCCAGCAGTCTGGCCTCTCTGGTGAAAAACCTGAATGAGGATGGACTAGACCTGCTTTTGGTAAGTGACCGTTTCACTCTCATAAAACTTGTGTATCATTTTTTTAAAAAAATCATTCTGGTGCAACATAGACAGTGTTGTACCTTACTGAAATAATTTTGTTTCCCCTGTGCATAAGCCTGCATAGAGTTCAGTGTATCCAGATGTATGCAGATAAGCTGTTGAATGTTCTTGGGGTTTTGTACATCTATAAAAATGCAAGACAGAGAGGCCTGCTGCCTTGGAACAAAGGCGGACACAGTCCAGCGTTGCTTCTCCAGCTGCTATTTATAGGTGTGCTGCCTCTGAACATGGAGGTTGTACTCTACTGCCATGGCTGTCCACTACTGATGATAAACAAGCTCATGGAGGAGATGTCTAATCTCCCCCGAAAAGCCATCTGAAACCGTGACCATGGCTGCAATTGTACGGGATGTGAATGCCGTAAATATAATTGTGTGGAGAAGCACCTGGGGGTCTTTTTTGTTCATCTGTCCTGAAACAACTGCCGCATCAGTTTCATAGGGTGACCCAGAATTCTAGCGCAGTAACAGAGGAGTCTTTCGCTCTCTTGTCTACATATCCACACTGGGTTTTATAAAAGTCCCCTCTCCACCCCATCCTCACTCCTGGTTTGTACCAGTTACCAAATTGTCACAGGATGATTCCATTCTCACTGGAGAACCTGCGGAGGTTTACTGGGCAAAGTTAATGGGCTGTGGTGGGTTACATTACACGTTGCATCACTCTGTCGCTTTCATAAAGCGTGGATGCCCAATTCACACTATCTCTCCTCCTTCAGAAAAGGAAGAGTGGAGAAGCGTTGGGTGGGTTGGACATGAGCACATTTGAGTGTCTATTTCATAGGTTAGGTCACCTGTGTAGCAGATAGAAGAGGCTTGTGAAGAGTGTGCCATAGAATAATAATATATGAACTGGGGCTCAGGTCAGCAGCCCAAGTGTTGACGTTGGGAAGGAAGTGATGGTATTAAGCTAGGGGCAGGTGAGCACACATCTTTTCCCACCCTAAAGGTCTTGGCCTAGTGTCTAATACTTCTAAAAGAAGAGAAACTTGAATACTGTACATCTTGGTCTGAGATTCACCATGGAAAGTCCGGTTCTGAGGACTCTGATCTCTCTAGGCTCCCCTGCATAGCAAGAGGCCAGTGTGTAACCTGCCTTTGTTTCCACTTGCAGAAAATGTTGACCTATGATCCAGCAAAAAGGATTTCTGGTCGCGTGGCTCTGAATCATCCTTACTTTGATGACTTGGACAAATCCAAACTACCAGCCAATCGGATCAAGAAATGCTAACTGCCCCTGAAACAACCTGAATGTGGTTGAAGCAGAAATACTGAAACTCGTGGTATTTCCCCCCACTGTCGAAGTTTATTGATATCCCTGTTTTTATATGTGTCTGTCTTGTCCTATTCTAAAACTGTAGCCCTGTCTATAGAGTGCTTTGGTTTGAATCTTCCTTTAATTGTAAATATTAACCTATTCACTTTCAATAAAGCTGTACACTGCTCAGTGAAGCCCACCATTATATATAAATGATAATAATAATTAATAATAATAATAATAATAATAATAATAATAATAAAACTTTAAATCTGGCATGGGAGCAGAGGAGGTCCCAGTTCTTCAGCATCAACCTCCCAACATAACTAAAGGCATCAAATTTGCACGGCAGTTTCCAAAAAAAGAAATTACATATCTGAGTTTCGATACGGATTTTGTGAAAGGGATTGCGGCTATTTTAACAGATTCATCTCTCTTTCTCTTCGCACCCCCCACCCCCAGCACTACTCCCCACACCGAAGGCTTCCTCAATACTCTGAAGATCTGGGGAGGGGGCAATAAGGCTGCTTGTCACATTGATGGGAGCCTTCACTAGATTAGCAGATGGGGCGGGTACCATTGGATACAAGCTGATAGATAAAAGAGACTGCTAACTAGACAGGGACAGGCTTGATCTTCCTCCCCCCCACCCCCCGATGGTTGGAGAGAACTTAAATGGCTGCAGTCCCTACCCCACCTAGCTGTGAAATCCAACAATTTGCTTACATGGGTTGGAAGTAGGTGTTGTGTAATGGGGGGGTGCAATCGCCCTGTGGGTGTAGCCTGCTCCTCACTGATAGGCATAGCAAATGCGGTATAGCATAGAGCACATAGATGCAGCCCATCACACGTCCTCTCTGTCATAATGGTGAGCATTCTGCTAGTAATTAGTGCTGTTTTTCTAGAGAAAGAGGTGCCGGAACTCGCCACAAATTCCTCCCTTGTAATGGCAACGATGCACACCTGGGAGGTGCCAGAACTGAGTTCCGGCTGGGGGGGAAGACGACCTGCTAGTAGTGTATACTTTTCATCTCTTGTGTGTGATGAAATTATCTGGAGCTATATTTAGGGCTCAAGCGCTGCTGTTACAGATGTAGGATTGCAGCCAAACTACTTACCCAGGATTATGAATTGTACGGGACTTCTTGGTAGACCTGGTTTGGTTTAGCCATTGGTCAGTTTGACTCGAGCATGGCAGGGGTTTCTTCTCTTCCCAGTCTCTTCTCTGATCTCCTCCCCCCCCCCCCAGCAACTTCCCATTTATTATGTGGGTTAGTTAATTTCTCACATGCTCTACAGAGGAACTCCCAATTTCTTTTTTTTAAACGGTGAACCAACGTCTCTTCCTGCTGCCAGGAGGCAGCTTTACCAGGGATGATGGTTACAGGTATGGCTGTTCCTATTTAGATTCTTGCAGAACAAAGAATGCCAAAACTGAAGGCTTATGGGTAATGGCAGATGGCCTTCGTGTGTGAGTGGTGTTTGGGGTATTCAAGCACTGGGACTTGGGGAACTGAGATCACTGTTGGTACATTTGATGCTCCAGTCTCTTGATCAGGCATAGGCAAACTTGGCTCTCCCAATGTTTTGGGACTACAACTCCCATCATCCCTAACCACTACTCCAAGTTTGCCTATGCCTGCTCTTAATCACTGGAGGAGTAGCATTCTACATTGCTGCTAGGCAAAGCAGCATCTGGTGAACACCAGCCTGCCACGTTGCTCTTAACTACGGAAGAGAGAAGGTGGTAACCTTATATGCAACTGGTGCATTTAAACAGTTACAAATGGAGAATTATGTGTTGCGGGTCAACAAATGAGTTAGAATTGTAAAGCATAACTATTTTTGGTTGGGATGTCATATTGTCCTTGACCACAAGATGCCACTGCAGTATCTAAACATTGATTCTGGCAGGGGGTGGGGGAATATCTGTCCAACGACGATCAATTTTTCCATACGAAACGGGTAGTTTAATAGCATGTATGCCTAAAGGGCAAACATGAGCTGGCTTTGTCTCAGATTAGGTGTTATTTTAATGTCTGAATTTCTGGAACTTGTAATTTGGTAAGGCTGCTGGCTCAGTTTATACGTCTACTTGGAATTGTACCAGGAGAGTTTGGTGCCTAAGGCAGAGTAGACCCAACCTGGTGAATTGTGTAGGGAGCTCACCCCCAAGGAATTGGAAGTAGCAGTTTGCCATGTTCTCTGGCTAGCAAGAAGACATAAACTTTTGTTTAGAGTTGCTGCCTCAGTCCTGGTTAAAACTATGCTTGCTGAAGTAGCTTTTGGTTGGGAACTAAGTGTTTTTGTGCTACTAATTTCACACATGACTATTTGGCAGTAACAAACCCTGGTAACATTTATGTTTAAGAAGGGTGGGTCACCTCCAACAGGTCTATTTAGGCCTAGCAAAGGTCCTGATTTGACCTGTTTCCCACAAGCCAAGCCCCTTTGCTGTCTTCAGGTGCAGGTAAATGCTGGGTTGCCATGAATTTGAAGTCTGTTTGCATTGGAAACCACTTTCAGTGGGACGTCAAAACTCGTGGCTCTGAGTACAGTGGTGCCTCGCAAGACGAAATTAATTCGTTCCGCAAGATCTCTTCGTCTTGCGAGTTTTTCGTCTTGCGATGCACGGTTTCCCATAGGAATGCATTGAAAATCAATTAATGCGTTCCTAGGGAAACCGCCTTCAGACCAGGTCCGGGGACAGTCTGTCCCCCGACCTCTTCTGAAGGCTGGGGGGGGGGGACAAGGGCTTTTTCCCCACCCCCAGCATTTTAAAAAAACCCGGGACAGCGGAGGACTTCTCCGCTGTCCGGGGCGATCTTAAAATGCTGGCGGGCGGCATTTTAAAATCGCCCGGGACAGCAGAGGACTTCTCCCTGTCCGGGGCGATTTAAAAGCCCCTGGGAAGGCAGGCAGGGGGGACAAAGACTTTTGCCCCCCGCCAGCCTTCAGAAGAGGTCCAGGACCTCTTCTGAAGGCCGGCGGGGGGCAAAAGTCTTTGCTCCCCCCTGCCTGCCTTCCCGGGAGAGCGGAGAAAGGCAGCGCGTTTCTCCGCTGTCCCTGACGGCTTTTGAAGGCAGGCTTTTGAAAGCCGTCCGGGACAGCGGAGAAACGCAGCGCGCCATTCCCGTTGTCCCCCGACTTGGCTAGATGGCTGGCGGGGGGGAGAAGCCTGCTCCTCCCGTCGCCAGCCCCGCAAACTCGGGGGACAACTGGAGAGGCGCAGCGCGCCCTTCCCGCTGTCCCCCGACTTGGCTAGAAGGCTGGCGGGGGGAGAAGCCTGCTCCTCCCCGTCGCCAGCCCCGCAAACTCGGGGGACAGCGGGAGAGGCGCAGCGCGCCATCCCGCTGTCTCCCGACATGGTTTGGAGGCTGGCGGAGGGCTTCCTCCTCCCCCAGCCCCGCAAGCTCCCAGAGCGATGCCAAAGCTGCGCGCAGCTTCGGCATGGCTCTGGGTTCCGTTCTGGGGGAGGGGGAAGCTCGGGCTTCCCCCGCCCCAGCCCCACACCTGGCGGTGGGGGAATAAATTTTTTCCCCCTTTATTTCCCTCCGCGCCCCCCCCCCCCGGCCAGGCTTCAGAGGAGGTCCGAGGACAGTGGGGAAGACGCGCTGCGCTTCCCCGCTGTCCCGGAGATTTCCCTATGGGCTTTCGTCTTGCGAAGCAAGCCCATAGGGAAATTCGTTTTGCGAAGCGCCTCCAAAACGGAAAACCCTTTCGTCTAGCGGGTTTTCCGTCTTGCGAGGCGTTCGTCTTGCGGGGTACCACTGTAGAATCATATTGCAAAGGCAATGTGTCTCAGCAACCATCAGGTGATCGGCGCTGGTACATTGCCTTTAAAAGTCACTTCGCAAGCGTGTTTTAATGAGACAACTTGTTCCTCATCTTGTGTGACCCTGAGGGTCAGAGAAAAAGAGTTTGATTCTTTCTTTCTTTTTAAAAAACCAAATCCATAAAACATGGTGTGGTAATTAAAATATATCTGTTTAATTGTAAGGGGGCGGCGGTCTACATTGCTGAAGCAGTCCTGGCAGGGCCTGGCCAAAGCGGTACACCTTCTCCTTCCTTGACACTCGAGTAAGGACAGAGGCACCGGTTTGCCCCCAAGATGGGGCAGTACGTGTCTCGCATGTGTGTCATCACACACACAATGTCACACATGTCTCCCCATACCATGCAGGCCAGTGCAGCCTTCCCTGATGGGCCCCCTCAACATTGGTGGGGCTGGGCCACCTTCAAGCAAATATTGAGGGGTCCTAAGACATCTCTGCCCCCTAGAGTTGGTGCACCTGGTTAAGGATAGGATAGTGACCAGCTTTGTGATGTGAACAGAGGTGACCATTTTAAGGCCTGTAAATGTTGGAGCAGACAGCCTTATTTAAGCTCAGAAGAGATCTGTAGCTGGTCGTGACCAAACACTTTTTAAACTGCCTGACATTTTCTTCCTGATAGTGCATGCATATATATATAGATATATGCATGCACTGAATTTCTCCCAGATCAGCACATTTGAGACAATAAGCTTTTTTCCCCCAGCTTGGAGGGGCCTGCTTAGGCAGAGGAACAAGAGTAATAAGTGTCGCTCTGTATAATCCTCATTAGCTGTTGCAGCTTAGAGAAGGAAATCCTCAGAGGGAATTCAGGATTTCACTTTAAAAAAGAAAGAGGGGAAAGATTTGCTTATGCAATAAAATCCGGCTTGTGCATAATATGACATACACAGAGTTGTGGTCCCCCCCCCCTTCTTTTAGAAAGGAGCGGAGCTGCAAGAGTTAATCCTCACAAAACAATGCTCAACCTAATAAAACAAAAAGCCTAACCCAAACCATTGGTTGGTGTGTGTTTTTTACTTTTGACATGGTTATAAGGTGCAAAGGAGGTCAAGGACACCAATATCTCTGCAGCAGGCATAAAACTCAGCAGATGCTGCTCGTCTCACTGCAGGTTTACAGGTGTGCAATCTAGGTCAGTTGCTCTGTTTGCTTTTTTGTGTACACACACACACACACACTCTCTCTCTCTCTCTCTCTCCTGGCTGGATTAGGACATGGCTAGTGCTTTGGTACCGATATGCCACTTCTACTGTGCATGCAAAGGCTTTAACCCTTCTTACAGCTCAAAACCTTACAGCTATTCATTTCAGTATCTCAAGTGTTGTCTTACGTTGCTCAGTTTTATAGTGTGTGTTAGT